TGACCCGGGGGACGTTCGGGGTGAGGGGGGCGTAGGGCCCTGGGAGGAGCCGGGGGCCGTAAGGGTAAGGGTTGTTTCGATCCTCGTTGTTGCGAGGATAGATCGGGGGCACAGGCCGCGGCGGGGAAACCTTTGACCTGAGAGGCAGGTCGCTGTTCTCCACGTCGAGGTCGTCCCACTCGAGGGCGGGGTTTGGCCTCGGGCCGCCCCCTCCCACGGGGACGGGGCTCACGAGGTTCATGGACGACAGGGTGGGCTTCACTATCGCGTCCGGGTTCCGCTCCCCGAAGTCGTAGTACTCGAAGTCGCTGGGTATGAAGTCCTCGGGCGGGGCCTCGAGGCCCGCCAATTCGGTGGGGTCTATGATGCCCAGGAGAGCGTCGTCCTCCGCAAGCGCCTCGAGGTGAGGAGCGCCCTTACCAGGTGAGCTCGATGGCGGTGCGGGCGTCGCGGGCGGAGGGGTGAGGGCAGGAGGGTCATCCCCGACGCCACCTGGATCCGCAGCCGCCGCGCCTGTCACTTCGTAGGAATCTTGAGTCTCTTCTCCTTCGACTCCCCCTTCTTCTCCCTCTTCGCCTTCCACAATATGTTGCTGAGTGACGTTTAACTCTCCCTCGGGTCGCACGTCCGAGAGGGGGCTCGCCCTCGGCAGCTGATGCGAAGGGACGGAAGCCTCGTCGTCCCGCAGGACTCCTTGGTCGTCCGTTTTCGCCTCCGCGTCCTTCGCCCTGCCGCGCACGATCGCTGTCGTGCTCATCACGTGTTCCTCGTCCCAGCTTTTTCTTTCGGTTGACGACTCGCTGACAAGGTTAGGTGTCGATAAAACTCTCCTCGCAGGTTCGGTAGTTGTAAGGCTTTCGGGCGTAGTTGTGGTGGTGGAGGTTGTTGTGGTAGTAATAGTCGTAGTCGCAGTAGTAGCAGCAGTCGCAGTGGCAGTGGAGTGCGTGGTAACGTAGGGTTCAGTGGGTGGTATCGGCGTGGTCGAAACGCCCGCACTCGGAGGCCCCGCGAACTCCGACTCGTTCAAGGGCGCTGGCCACGTGAAATTGGCCTGGGCCAAGTCCTCCCCGAACGGCAGCGCGCTCACGTTGAAGGCCGCGTCGGTGAGGTTGGCTTCCTTGTTCTGGAGGGCGTTCTCGAGGGACAGCAGCCCCGCCAGCCGCAGCACGAACATGGCCATGGCTCCAGCAGGCTCTACCATGCCGTCTCCTGGGGACAAAAGAGGAGGCTCTGTACATCAGGCGGACCTGGCAACATTAATGCGTCTTCAAGGGCTAAGACAGTATAAGCAAGACGAAATCTTACTTGCGATGAAATGTTTATTGTACTCTTTTTGCGACCTTTAATTAGATGACTTAGATTTAGCTGCGCAGGAAGTATCGTTAGCAAGCGCATTCCGGTCTGCGCTGTGCTCCTTGTAAGATTTAGAGCGTACACACAATAAATGTAAATAAATATACATAGTATAGGAGAAGGAAATGACATACATAAAAGCGCAAGAGGGATGAACAACAGAAAATAAACACGTAAAAACAGTCAAGTGACATTAAGGAATAGAAATGAGACCGCCATGGCTCTTAATGCGAAGCTTAAAGTGTCCACCGTGTTGCCAAAATTTGTTGCAAAGATAAAGACGGAGACGCTCCTGTGATACAAAAGACATTGTCACCCGCAATCAGACGCGAGATAAGATCGGCCGCCACCGAGCATGCACACAGATGTTAGTTTTGGGAGATAAACGTTGCTAAAAATCTTCGCTCATTCGCTTCTTTCAAGATCGAAGCTAAAATTTTGCGACTTTTTTTCTTCTTTTTCTTCTCCATCGCGTATTTACGATTCTGCAGTATCCGTGCGTCATCGGTCACGGTCAAATGTCATGCCTGATACTTGAAAGGATTTTATTTATATCAGTATCGAGATCTGACGCCTGGCTTGCAAATGCATTTCTTTTCTTGGCGCCTTTTTCGAGTTGCCTTCGAGAATGGAAATCAGTCCCAAGAATCACCATGAATTTTCGTGTTTTTTTCGTGTTTTTTTTCATTTTTTTTTTTTTTTTTCTTGTACCTACACGTGATTCATTACCAATTACAAATATTCAAACGAAAATTACTTTTGAGATTCTAAACAACACGAAGCATATACATCAAATCGTAAAGACAGAGATTGCGAACTTCTTTGCTCCATTAGTGAAAAGCGACGAACTGGAACCATTAGCCAGAAAAAAATGTTATTAATAGCCAGGATTACAACTAACTGCCTGATAATCTCAAGGAGAGCGATTGTTTACCTTCGGGACTTGGCGACGGTTGTTGCAACAGATTAGAAGTGCATCTGTCCTCCCCCCTTCCCCTCGCCCCTCCCACTCCCCTTCTTGTTATGACTTTCCCCTCCCACTCCCTCTTCCTCTCTCTCTCCCTCCAACTCCCTCTCCCTCTCTCTTTTCATTTCCTCTCCCTCTCTCTCTCTTTCGATCTCTCTCTCTCTCTCTCTCTCTCTCTCT